ACTGCTTATTAATACTGTATTTCCTGATAATCAAATGTAATCAGCAGCATTTAAGTCAGTCACAGTGGAACTTTGCTTTTTCCTGTACATATCACAAGGTTTGGATTAACTAACACAATAAAATTCAATAAAAATCTGATCGACTCTGTGTTAGTTTTCTCATTTTAAACATTAGAATATTGAAACAATCATACATTTGTGGGTAACAATATACTCACCTTGCTCTTTGACATAGAAAGTGAAGAGTCATCTTTATTTTGAGAAGCATCTTCCTTCCCTCTTTCAAAACCTTGAGAAAAAAAATCAATATATCAGTATAAATGACATGAAAACATGTACTCATTTATACCTTAGCGCTAAATAGAGTTTTCATGTAAGTCATGTAATTTTAAATGTGCATTCTATTTGATGAACCTTGTGAGCAGAAAGTCTAGACAATTTAAAACTAGTATAACCCCCTAGGGGTCATCTCTTATATAATAATTCAGTAAAATTTATTAAGGTCTAGAGAGAAAATAAGGAGCCCTAATGGTGCAACAGTTAAACACCTGGCTTTTAACACAAAGGTTGGTGGTTCAAACCCACCCCGCAGCTTTGCATAAGAAAGACCTAGCAATCTGCTTCTGCAAAGATTCTAGCCAAGAACGCCCCTGAAGCAGTTGTAGTCTGTCAGCTGAGGACACTCCATATGGGCACTGTCTCCATGGTGTCAGCAATAGCAACAAGAGAAAGGCAAAGAAGTCTCCTGACATGAGTCAAGCAGAAGCTAAGTGCCTCTTTTCTGTGCTACCAAAGCACAAGGTTTTTCTTCTAGTGAACTGGTTTCTGCTGGTTTCGCAAATATAATGCAAAAGTGCTGTCACATTTTTTACACCTCTTGCCAAAATCAAAGGAAGTTTACCAAAAAGAAGTTCAGGATTTTAGTAAAATAACACTGGGAAAATACATCAGGATTGAGAGATGGATATTTAAAAAAATCTGATAACATGTTCAGTGTAAAGATTAAGTAAAGATGGATTCATATCACCTACCACACAGCTCCCATATAGTATACATCTAATTAATGCTAACATTTATTGTCATTATATTGTCTATTGCTGGATAAATTCTAAAATAGTAAATCTACCTAAGAACTTTGAAAAAATGACTATCTCTGAAATCATGTAAAACACAGTATAGTAAATTAATGTTATAGGGTACAACTAGAGAAATGTTAAATTTGAGATTTGTGGCATAAAAGGAATAGTATACATTAAAAAAATATTTTTTATCTACTTTTGAAGAGCCATCCAAGAATACACTACCGTTGACTTGACCTCCAACTCATAGTGACAGAACTGCTCCTTAAGTTTTCTGAACTTATCTTTTTCCTGTGGGCAGCTGGTGGGTTTGAACGACTCACCTTGCAGTTGCAGCCTAACACTTACCCCACTGTACTACCATTTCCCTATAATTTCCTGTTCTGCAGCCAATAAATGAAGACATACAGAGGAAGAAAGAGAGTCAAGAATAGGATAATATGGAATGCCTGGCCAACTGCCTCCATGAACAACTGCCTCCTGTGCCATGAATCAGAACTGGATGGTACCTGACTACCATTACTGAAGTTTGATCAAAGATTATATAGAAGAATTTTGATTAAAAAAAGATACAGAACACAATTTCAAATTCTCATAGACTCAAGACCTGGAGCGATAGAGGGCAGTTAAACTCCTGAAATTACTGCCTTGATGTATCTTTAAATCTCAAACCAAAAATTTCCCCTAAGTCTTCATAAAATCAAAGTTTAACTTTTGTAATAAAAAAGGTCTTCCTTGAACATATATTCCTTTAAGTATAAAACTATGTGGGAACAAATCATCAAGAGCAATTTAAAAGATTAGATAAAACCTTATAGGACAGTGATATTTTATGAACTCAGAAAAGGAAGGTGAGAATGACTGTACAACTTGAAGAATACAATCAATGTCACCAAATGGTACATGTAGAAACTAGTCAATTAGTGTATATTTTGCAATAACAAAATAAATCTAGAAAAATTAAATGTTACATTGCCCATAAGTAATAGTGCCTAAAACATTTAAAAGTACCAAAGATATTATCATTTATTCAGTATTGGCTTATATTAGTTAAAAGCAAATTTATTCTATTATCTTAGAGATTTTATCGAATTACTTCTGTAATATAAAAATATTTTTTTTCTTTCTTTTAGCTAAAGAGGAGACTGTGACGGTCATGGGTCTGGTGGTTAGTCATAAAAGGAACATGGAATTTTGTACTAAAGAATATCGGAATTTGTATTATTAGTATAAAACCAAAAAAACCGAAGACTTCTAAAAGTATAAAGTTCACATATTGCTTTAAAGTCATTTTATTATTAAAAACTATATAATTGATACTCATGCACAAACTCATAAAAACTATGACACATTACCAGCCCTCATAAATAATGCAGCATAGTTTCAGACTGTGACTATTTACTGTTTACTTGGTAATGATTTGGGTACTAATTTTTTCCCAACCATCCTCCCCACTTAAAAAATAAACAAATAGTCATCATAAAGTCTATTTTGAATCATCTCAACCACATGCCTTCCAGAGCAGAACTGTATTCCACATGATTGTCAATGGCTGTGATGTTTTGAAAATCAGATCCTTCCTCTGATTTGGTTAGTAGCTGAGTGCTTGAGTGTACTATCCATAGACATCAAATTATTATGGTATTTATATATAAAAATAATGAATATGTTTTGTCAAAACTAGTTTTCAACACGCTAGGCAAACAGACATAAAAAGTAGTAACACC